CTGGTGCTCTACCATAGCCTCCCTGTGCTCTACCATAGCCTCCCGGTGCTCTACCATAGCCTCCCTGTGCTCTATCATAGCCTCCAGGTGTTCTCAAATAGGCTCACAACACTCCCCCATACACTCCCAGCACACTCCCACACACTCTCCGTAAAAAATAAATAAAATTAAATTAATTTCCAACAATGTCTCGAGATATCCCCCTATTCTTGCCTCTGTTTAGCGACAAAATCTTTTTATATATAGTAATTAATTCAAATCAAATGAAAGTCCAGTGAATTATTTAAATATTTCAAATATAATTAAAACATTGAAATTTCAGTTGTATTTAATTGAGTGAACAAACCATTGAATTGATTGCTAACACAACGAAAAATCTGTACAAATCTGTAGTTGTTTTTCAATACCTATTACTTAACTGTTTTGAAATAAGACCTGATTTTGATAATCATTTTAATTGAATACCAAAACACTGAACGACAGATACAATGAAAATCAAACTCAATTTAAAAGACAAACAAATATTGACACAAAAGGGGTATTCAGTGGACGAACAGCCCATCAGTAACGGCACGTACGGCACAGTCTTCAGGGCCCGCAACACATCCGGTGACACCCGAGCCCTCAAAGTCATCGACTTAACAGATGTCACACAAGACTACAAGACACAGTTCCTTCCGCGGGAACTGTTTGCCATTAAGAAACTTCGCCACCGATTTATTGTCACCACATTTGACTCGTTCTTCGTGTCCTCAAAGTCATCGACTTAACAGATGTCACACAAGACTACAAGACACAGTTCCTTCCGCGGGAACTGTTTGCCATTAAGAAACTTCGCCACCGATTTATTGTCACCACATTTGACTCGTTCTTCGTGTCCGCCCGTGTCTTCATTGTGATGGAGTTGGCGATCGGCGGTGACCTCCAGGACATGATCGACAAACTCAAGCGTCCCGTCGATGACAGTAAAGCCCGCGTTATCTTCAGACAAGTGGCCGAAGGACTGAATTACATCCATAATGAGGGCGTTGTTCACCGCGACCTCAAGTGTGACAACGTTTTGCTGTTTGATGACCAGAAAGTGGCCAAATTGACTGACTTCGGGTTCGCCCGCACCTCATATCTGCCGCCCACCGGTCAAAGTGTTTTGGTGGCGACCACTTGCGGGACTCAGGAGTACTGTTCCCCTGAGTTGTTAAGTAATCATCCTTTTAAGCCGAAGCCCAACGACTGCTGGTCTCTCGGAGTTGTGCTATACGTGATGACCACCCGTAAGACTCCCTTCCCTTTAAGACATCAGAGGCGCAGACAAATGAAGAAGAAGTACTCAAAGACTGGCATTACTAATGATGACTGCAAAGACCTGATCCAGAAGATACTCGAACCCGAGGTTAGCCGTCGGCTAACCATTGGCCAAATACTTGCCCATAAATGGATTTGTGATATAATTGTGTAAATAGTGGACAATCTTTTAGCCAAACATTAAATCCTGTCTTTGAACTAATGTTTTATAACAATGCAATCAATCGTTTCAAATATAGCCATAATTACAATATGACAGAAGTTATAGTTTTTAATTAATAAAACTCGTGTTTTTAATTGCCTTTAAATCTGTTTACAAAACTAAACTCATGTTTTTATTATATATTTAGTCTCTTCTTAAGAATTAAATTAATATACAAGAAATTGTATAGAAAACAAGACATGACTAATATTAAACAAAATAATAATTTTATAATTTATAATTAGCACACAATGTGTTGAATAATTGATTCTAGAAACAGATCAACTGTTAATTCGTATTTATTTAAAACAAAATACAGTAAAGTTTATAATTTTATTGTATAATTAAATATATTTTGAAAGAGAAATGTTTAAAAATAATTATATTTTAGAATTTAATGTCGACTTTGAATTCTTGGAAATCATTTTTCGATCAACACTTGTGGTAACAGAACTCATGGGTTTCGATGAATGTCTCAAACCTCTGGATTTGTTGGTCATTACGGCTGCACTCGAAGAGTCCGATGGAATTACACTCATTTGTTGATGTCTTTTACGAATCAAATACCCATCGATTACCACAACAATCACTCCAATTATCAACAAAATAATCAATAATATCAGCAATTCATCGGTAGATCTGACACTTTCAGTGGTGGTAATCACACCAATCGGTGGATCAGTTGTTGTCTCTGATGGACATTCATATGCAATCATATTCTCCTCTTTTGAACACTTTAAACATACAAACAATACATTATAAATTTTATACTTTCAATAAATTTAAAAATTTGAATTAAAATTAATTATATGATAAATACCTGATTCGAGAGATCCTTTCCCTCAGGTGTGAAGCAATAGCGGGGCTGACCAGAGATGTTGAACCATAGCATATGTCCCATCATATCGGGGGGATTATAGTAGTCAATGATTCCCTCCAAATGTGTTAACAAAGTATCATTTATTTGATCCACAAATACCGGTCGCCGACACCTGTCTTTCGAGCAGTTGGTCTCATTCACAAAACTAAAATAGCGTGTGTAAAACCCATCTATCTCAAAATGTAAATACAATTTGACAGATGGCTTGTATTTGTCCAGAATTGTCATATATGCACTCAATTCACTCCTGGACACCGACACAGCTGTCGGACTGAATATGATAGACATTGGGTTAAATTGTTTACTAGTTTTGAACGTGTTTTTATCGTAATAAGTGTCGCAATTGGTTTGAATAGTATCGTTGGTTTGGAGATGCTTTTCACCATCCTAATATACATTATATTTATGTAATTAATTATTTAGTATTAGTAAATCCAATGCATATCCAATTACCTTATAATGTATTTCGCAATAGACGTTTACTAGAGAGTAGCCAAATCTATATTTCCGGTTTAGTAATACCGA